TTAATGTTTTTGACACAGCAACGATAATATAAACTTAAAATTTAAAACATATTAAACCTGAATCATTGTAATAGGATTAATATATAAAAAAAATGAAATAAAATATTTTTGAAAATACCTCTAATAAAAAGATGTTCTTCGTTACTTTTGTCACTGATTCTTCTCCGTTGCGGTTTCCAAATTTCAAAACATTCTACTGTGGCAAACACATTCTCTCACTGCTCAAAATATTTTCCCCAAAATTTATTCATTGCATATCATTTAACCAACACATTGCTTCAAAAAACTATAGTATTACTTCATCAAACGGTAAAAAAAATTAAATATTGAAGTCTACATGAAAAGACATTAGAAGATGCAAAAAGTTGAATTAACTAAAAACTATTCATGTATGTTTAAATTCCCATTAGTAATCCTGATAAAGAATTCTCTCCAGAAGAAAAAATAAAGTTGAAAAAGTAGAATTCGATCACGTAAATTAATCACCTTAAGTAAATTATCCCTTAGGCAATAACATATTTCATACAAGGGATAAGTACTTCAGTGCTGGCACCCCGTTAAATTATTTTAGTTCCAGTATTACTCGATCACCGTTCGTAAACCTTTAATGACATCAAAAGTATTCATTAATATAAGATTAAAAAAATACAAGTAAATATGAGTGCACGTAATTTCTCGTGACCTACCTACTCATTTAATTACCCCTGGGAGAGTGGCATCAGGCGGTAATTGCACCATTGGATTACCGCTTAATATTATTCACACGTTTTTCTACGCATTGTAAATGTTCTGACATCAGTTGGCATGAAGTTCAGGGCTTAACATTTGATGTTTTGTTAAAAATGACAGCTTAAGACAATATTTGTCTTATTTTTTGAGACATTAACTTCGCGATAACTGATTCCGAATTATATAAGATTTTTTACTTAAGTGGATATTCAAAAAGTTTATTAATTTACGTTCGTAAATTGACGTTTCAGTCACTATCACGTAATCCATTTAGCTTAAAAATTGTACTTTCTTAAACAAAAATAAAACTTATTTACTCATTTTCGTATTTTAACTTCTTGGTAACTAATAAATATTCATACAAGATTTGGGTGTAAAAAATAAATGTTCGTAAAAAAATTATAAGTTTCATTTTATTTTCTCATATTTAACTTCTCAGTGACTGATTAGCAATCATGCAAGACTTTGAGCTTAAAAAGAGAAACATCTTACACATGATCAGACATATATTCAATTTATTTGAATTATTTATTATAGCATATTAGTTTTACGCAATTTAATTATATATTCATAATCAAAATTTCTAAAATTTATTGTATTGAATACTAGTCTCACCACTTCTCTGATGCATAATACGTGGTAGGAAGAAGGGGATCGCTCTCCTGACACAACTATTCGGACCAGATTGTGGCTACAACTCCTATTTTGAGGGTCAGGAATCCAGATCTGCCCAAAAAAAGCTATGCTTATTCAGAAAAGGTAAATTTTTGTGTCTTATTTCGTAACTTGTTCGTAACTTCACTTGCATTCAGTAATTAACATATTTGAAATCACTCTCTCTATCGAAAAAAACTGAATCTTAGCGCATGAAAATCCGAACATTTATTCAAAAGTTATTCTTCGTGCTCCGTTCTTCTTTTATTATTATTTTGCACTCTGTTCACATTTACTAAGAACACAAAAGTTTTCACACCTTGCATGTGGAAGTCCAATTGGAACACATTAAAGTAGAATCTGACACTAATCCACTGTAACCACAGCAAAAAAATTTTTGGATGCCCAGGAAAAAAAGTTCGCTCTGCATATTTTTTATTTTATTTTTTTCTTTTAGAAAATGACATTTTGGTACTTAATCACCTAGATTTCATCTTCAAATGGAAATGCTATAAAATTTTATTTTTCAATCAAATTTATTGGACAAATGTACTTAATTGTAACCTACTGTGTTTTAGCTTAGGTCAAGAAAATCTGAATTGACTTTACCACAGATAGTAGGGGTGAGGAAAATGTTAAAAAATTTACCTGAAAATCATAATCAAGATGGCAATTATGGAAAAATAGGTGACATACATATGCCAAATAGTCAAATAGTTAAGGCAAAAGAGCGGTCGAAAGTTTGAACTGCTCTATGTTAATTTTTTGTGTACCACGCAATCTTGAAGACGCATTTATGATATTTTATTTCTCACGAACTAATCGACCTATTTTCTTTAATTTATTTTTTTTGTTTCAGTTAAAATTACGTTGATTTTATTGGAGCAAGCATTTGTATATTTTTAAAATAATTATTTTTCAACTATTCGTAAATCAAGATGCAAGAAAAAAATAATGAGTTGAGAAAATAATCTTTTGCTTTTAATTTTTTACAAATGTGTGGTAAAAGTTTTAATTTTTAAAATAAAACGGGAAAATTAACATCAAATACAAAAATTAATACAAAAATACAAAATACAAAAACTGAGTGAAATCATTCGAATAGTTCATGAGAAATCAAATTTTAAAAATACGACTTTTTTGAAATTTGATTTTTCGATCATTAGATCAAAAGTTGTTCAGGGTGGTTCCCGTTTTATTAATTTGCACACTGTACAATAAGAACTATAAAAGGCCGGGGGAACTTATTAACTTAAAAGGAGAAAAAAATTGTAATGAGTACCTAAAGAATAGGTACTTTGAGATTATATTAGTATTGAGATTTTACTTTTGTTGGGTATTTTAACATATTTGCTGAGTAATTCTTACAGAGCTTACGTCAAGATAGCTCTATTGCAAGTAAGCTGCAAGAAAAACAATGGAGTCATACTTACGGACTATACATCATACAACCGAACGTTGTACTTCTCAAGAAAGATTTTTCCAAGTAGTAGTGAAAGGGGAATCAGAGTAGTGAAAAGAGGAGTCCTGTTATGAAATAAAAACTGATAGTAAATTTGTATTGAAAGCTGACAAAATCTTTGAGTCTTATCGCTATCATCCATCAAAACCTCCACGAGGTTTTTTCTTCTTCACGGTTCATAAGTAGTCTGCTCTCATCCCATCCATCACCTCCTCTTCAACACGGCATTTTTCTTCTTCACGGTTCATAAGTAGTCTGCTTTCATCCATCTCCTCCTCCTCCACACAGTTTTTTCCTCTTCACGGATCATAAGTAGTCTGCTCTCATCCCATCCATCACCTCCTCTTCAACACGGCATTTTTTTTCTTCACGGTTCATAAGTAGTCTGCTCTCATCCCATCCATCACCTCCCCTTCAACACGGCATTTTTCTTCTTCACGGTTCATAAGTAGTCTGCTTTCATCCATCATCTCCTCCTACACACGGTTTTTTCCCTCTTCACGGTTCATAAGTAGTCTGATCTCATTCATGACCTCCTACTCCACACGTTTTTTTTTCTCTTAACAGTTCATTAGTAGTTTGGGCAGACTATTTAAAAAGTTAACCAGTTGTGCGCTTGAACCCAGATTTTATTTTAAAAGTAATTGAGAGGAATTTATCACATGTATTTGAGAAGTGAAACTGTGGTGGTTTACGAGTAAATAAGACAATTCATAGACCTATTCATAAATTTGACAAATGTTTAGACTCATATTTCTTATTTTTATTAGATATCGTATTAAATGGCTCTCTCTTAAACTGGTCTACCTTCATAGTTGTCTGATCGAACTACCTATTAAAAACTGTGGGGAAATGTGCTTTAAAACTTTTGAAGATTTTTTAAAAATAATTTATTGTAATATTTTTTTCTTCTTCGCTTCTAAAAACTCTTCATATTTTTTTCCCGTGTTCCCTCTATTTTAACGTAATTTATGAGTTTTATGCATTTGCTGCTTATGCGCTGTAAATAAGACTTATTATTTCTTTTCGTAATTTTCTTCCTTAATCTATCAATTCTTTTATCTAATCTTGGTTAACCTCTTTATACTTTTCATTAGTTTCTAATCTGCACTGTAATCAGCGTAAGGATTTCAAAAAAGGAGATCCTGACATGGTGTTAAGAAATTACAATGGACTAAACATTTTACAATTAGTAACTGTTAGGCTGATTTTTATAATTAATAAATATCATAACACATTTTTGCTGGCAATGAGAGCATCAAAAAATAAATAAAAATGACAACGCTGTTCTATCTTTGTCATAATGTTACAACATAATTTTTATTAACACTAAATATAAAACATAACTCTAAATAATAAATGTTCAAGAAAAACCTCACTAAAATAAATGAAACTAGCCTGTATGCAAGCAAGTAATAAAACAAAACATGCTCACTTAAAAAATTTGAAAATGATACCGTTTTAAATTGAGAATTAAATATAGTGAAAAATTAATACAGTTAGTTTTATTACTATACACTTAATCTTTATTTTAATGAGATGAAAAATAAATTGAATTTTATTTTAATCTAATAGTCACCGAGAAAGGCAACAAATAATAATAAATAAAAAATGGAGTGATTTTTAAAAAGTGACTTTAAAAAATGGTGTGAACTTTATTTGTGTCGGTATTTTCTTGGTGCATGATTTTGTATTTTTGTTTAGTGTTGACTTATTGATTCCTTTTTTCCCCAGTGTGATGAACGGGTATGCAGTTGGTATAGTATTAAATCATTATTCAAAAATAGCTACTGTCTATTAGAGAGATTTATAATAACTTGAAATCGCTCATAAATTTAAAAGTTTGCATACTTTATTTTAGGATTTGTTGCTTCTGTTCATTACACAAAAGTCTGATTATTGTTTACATAAATGAGTTTAATACTAAATTAAATATTACTTAATTCAGCATTCTTACTACTTACTAAGCATTCTTTTTTGTTGTTGAAATTGTCTAAATATTTTTAGCTGTCAATAAATCCATTGAAAAAAAGAAAAGGAATTAATTTACCCTTACCTGAAACTGTGTATAAGTGGAATATGAATTATACATTTGCAATGTTTAAAAACACTTTATTGAAATCAATATATTATAATTTACTATGCTATAATTTTTTTTATTCAATAAATAGTTAATGATAGATAGAATATCATATGTTAAAACAGCTTGAAAGTCAACAATGGATTTATTGCCTTTAAGACAGCACGAATGAAGAATTAACACGCACTTCTCAAATGAAGACGTCTTTTAAAATTATATTCGTCATATTCACACAATTCAATATTCATTCAGATTTCTTCCTAATAACAATTCCATTTACTGCATTGACTGGCATAATTTCTTTTCTCAGTTTTCCATCTAAGAATGCTTTCTCTAATGCCATTAAAGGCGATTCAAAGACTAAACCTAGCATAAAAGCTGTCAAGAAACTGAGGATCATGTTGTTGAAAAATATGAAGATCTGGAAAGCAGAAAAATTAGAATTGTTAAATATGGTATTAAAGAAAAAATTATAGAAAGAATTCTCTACTAACTATAGATAAACAGTCATTTTTTCAACGGCAAATGTTTTGTAAGATTTTACAAGGCTAAACTGTTGGCACGGTTTAAAAGATCATGCTTGAAGCATTTAGAAGTGGGATCCTTTATTACTCATACAAAATTTTCATCGTCCAAAATAAGTGTAAGAAGTTTAAAGCTTTTCTTTTTCAATACTGCTACGGTTAAAAAAAGCATTCTAATATAAAATTTGCAATCCTATAGAACAGTGATCCCTAACCTTTTTGTTGCCGCGGACCTGTCAACGTTTTATCGCTGATAGTTTTACCACTGCCTGCTGAGGGGAGGGGCAGAAGTTAGTTGTTTGCACTTTAAATGGTTCTGATTTAATAATTTTGATTTAATTGTATTTAAATATGTCATCAAAAAATATATATAGTTACAAGCGCAGTGTTAGTACGGTTTTAGATGTCGTCTTCTCTGTTCTCAATTAACCTCTCATCTATAAAAATTACTACCATTACCTACTATTGTTGTAATTTTATAAATGTGCATTTTGCAACAGAATTTTCCAGTAGGCCTCATTTATTGTCCGATTTTAGTTGCCCACAGGCAATAAAGTGGTGTAAGTTGGTAAGTACTTCATATTCAACATAAAACAAACAAGAACTTGTTTTTACATTTTGATAAAATGTTATAAAAAAAATTCTATTCGTCTCACAAGTTTATGCTACTTAGGTACTTTATTTGATATATTTTTTTTAAAGATTTTGTTTATTTAACAGTCTTTTTTGTACAAGATCTTACCATAGTCCGATGTCCTAACAGCATTGACTGCCTTATGGAACCGGTATAAATGCGTACAAGACCATAATGAACTAGGTACACCAAGTAACTCAATCTTGCGAATGGTACGAAGCCTTCCCAACTCAGAATACCATTGATGATTCCTGAAGAATAAAAGTAAAAACTATTATTACTCTATTTTGACCTAGCTTTCTTATAAAAAGACTGTTCCATGCTTCGAAAAGACGTTAAAAGTACTATCACGAAATATTCATAATCAGAGTTTATTATGTACAGATCAGGCAGTTCATTTAATATAATAACTGAAGTTAACCCACTGTGTAATTTCGAAGCTAAGGTGGTGGAAAAGATGTTAGATCTTCCTGAAAGTTCTGAGCCCGGAAGTGTGCTCCTTTTTCAGTAGTGCAAAAGGTTCTTTTATAAGAGACAGTGGTAGGGTATTTAACCTTTAAAACCCAATGCTAATATTCTATTTAACTTTCCGTTAGACGCGCGCACCTCACAGGTGCATCCCTACTGCACTTCCACCTCCTTTGCCGTCAAAAGATGTTTCCGGGGGTCGAGCCTAATGTTATGTTCCTAACTTTGGATTACTCAAATGTCCGTGTAAAACCGACCTTCGAACATGTCGATGGAGAGTTGGAACCGCTCAAATCACCCCTCTGGTGCAGCGCGACCATTGACACAAGTATTATGGATATAATATTTTTATGAATTAAATATATATATTTTATCTCATTTTCTGTCCTACTCAACAAGCAGGAATAAATGGTCAAGTTATATACACAGAAAATGTTTACGGAGTAAAACACCGCAGAACCTTCTTGCGTCAATTGGTTGAACATCTTGTGATGGAGGAAGAGATCCGACGCGGGAGCAAGAAACATTTATCTTCGGTACTTCGCTAAATAAGTTTTTTGATATTTATCTCTCTAAAGAGTCTTAAATTGGTAACAATTAACTATTTAAACTAGACTAAATTTCATTTGGCTTTCAAAAAATCAGAAACACCTCATAGGTACAACGCGATTAACCATGTCGGACACAAGTGCGCGACTAACGGAAGGTTAAAAAAAAACACAGCATATATGGCGCAAAAGAGCGCGGTGCTTGCACATTTAAACTTGTTACGAAATTAACCCACGAAAGTTAGTGGTACACCTAATGTATATGTTACTGTGAATGACAAAAATTTGTGGTTGTTGACTCCCCCCGGTAAATATTGACAATAATCACAATGCCGCTTTGGTAAATATCCGTAATATTTGCTAGGTCCAGTTAAGTGCCACTGCCCGGTATACGTTAGCCCCACATCAAGCCTTTTGAAGGTCACGTGCCACTGCCCAGTAAGCATTTAATCGGTATTCCGAACAGGCAGATATTAAAATATCAAATAAATATAATAATATCAACGAATAAATTAATATCAATTCGGAGGCACAGTGGGCCAGCATCCAAGGTTTCGTGGCCAAAATTAGTAGTTCGATAAAATTTGTTTCAAAATTTGGGGGGTTTTATTTAGGGGTTTTCATGTGCAGGTAAATTGAATTCATAGTTGAAATTTTGAAATACACTAAAAATACACAAAAAAAAGAATGGTGGCTGAAATATGGCGAGCAAAAATAATAAAAAAGTATAGTAAGTTTAAACAATTAAATATAGCTATGTAAATCTAATAATTTTCGTAATTTTATATTAAAAATGAAAAGCAAATTATATTTCCGAAGTAATATTACAAAATAACGCGAAAACATGAAAAAAAAAACAAATTTCTTCTTTTTCCGTATATTTAGCTATACGAGCAAAATGGAGCAGGTTTTTTCGAAGGAAGAAATATCAAAGAAGGCAACAAAAAAAAGTTTAGCTAATTACCTCGTGGAACGTTTGGGAACTAAGTTTCGAAAGTCAATCAAACATTGTAAAATGTCGAATGATAAGATATAAACTATAAGTTTGTCAAGAGATGTCAACTAATCCAACACATTGAAAAAGTGCACTATAATTTCAGACTAATTGCTCTGATAAAAATGTAACAGTAAGCTGAAATTTCTATATATATTTCTGAAATAAAAATTTAGAAGTTACATTTAAAAAAAATATTTTAGCATATTTTTCTGTACATTGTACTCTCGTCGGTCCGAAAAGTAAATTATAATGTTTGGAATGATTATGAATACTTAATTTGAGCTGCATTGAAACTGCCTACACTTATTTTAGTTAAAAAATTTAATTTTTGACTTTTGGCCAAAGATCATGGTCTTCTGGCCCACAGTGGGATGTAACAAATATTTCGGACATTCACCAAAGTGACTAAGTGAGTGTTGACATTCAACGGTTAATGTCAACAATTTGTTGATTTCAGTCACTCACAGTAGCATATATACATTTAAGGGTAAACGCCCTACCATTTTATTTTACAAAGGCACCTTTTGCATCCTTGTATCATGGGACGTGTTTTTCCGCTGACAGAATTTTCCGTAGAGTTAATATAAGCTAAATGTAAATAAATCTCAACTATTACATCGTTTTTTATGGTTACTTTGGTGGTGACTTTTGTTATCTACTTATAAATGACAATTAAGTGCAAAAGATTAATGAATTATAGATATTTGTGTAAATATTTAAAATAAATTTTTAATTTAAAAAAAAAAACATTCTTAAATATATGCTACACATAGATCATTGCTAAAATAAAAGTATGGAAACACAGTCAGGTCACAGGATTCCATGTTATAGCTCCTTATGAAAAAAATTGCAAGCGTTATGTGAAAAAAGTGATTTCTAAAAATATTTCAATGTCTCAGATATAAACCATTTCCACAACTGATGGAAGATTTTCACCCGAGATGCCTTAGGAGACAGACGTGTCTTGCGAGTTCTCCGAGCCGGGGGCTCGGTCGCCATGCAGCGGGATGACCAACGATGTGTTCCCGCCAGCCAGTCGTCACCACCTCCATGCCTTAGCGATGATCTCTTCCTCTCTTCGTGAGCGTTTGAATCAGACCTGATGACTGCAGTTCTTCTGCGACGTCGATCACTGATCAATGTTTGAAAGACAGAACAAAGATGAAATAGTTTTCAAATCCAGCCAACGTGAACACACCGTGTAAGCGGCAGTAGTAACTTGTTTAGCCTAGACGTACGTGAACGTGATGATTGCATTGACCTTTCGTTAGTAGCATTTAGGCCTGTCCGACATGTTAATGGCGGTCATTTGCGTTTGAAACCGATTGGTCGAAGCATGTTTCGCAAGTAGGAGTCTGGCTTTACTAACATCTATTGTCCTTCGGGTCCTCGCCCAGTTTAGTTACTAGCGGAGACTGGAGATGTTAATTATGAATTCGAGATAAGTAATCTTAAAAACAGCGAGATGTTTTCCTCAAGCAAAGCACAGTAGACTTCATTTTTGTTGATTACTCTCAACTCTTTTTCAAGTCACCACAGCTTTTCCGCACCATGGCAATGTGCCATTTTTCTCCCCACTTCAACTTTAGCATTATGCTTATCACCACAAGGTTTCACCTCAACGATCTTTACTTCATGACGAAGGGGTAAAGGGCCACCTTGGCCTCAGGGACCCCGACCAACCAACAAGACCAGACCAGACCAGATGGAAGATTTTTACAAAAGGCATCTAAATCATAATGAATTTTCCTTTTTTCGCGTAAACTGCAGAAAATGAACTTACCGCCTTGTCCCCAAGTACAGGATAATGTCATAAACGCTAGACACAGAGTCCAGGCCAGTCTATGAGTGCAGCCATATAAAGTTGAAACAAAGAGGCCTGATTGATGTTCTGTTCCCTGGTTCCACTTATAAGTCAAAATCATTATACTAAGGAATGTCATAAATGACAAAAACCATCCTATGGCATTGATCAGCTGTTTATAAAAAGTTTAATTTAGTCTGCAGTTATTATGAATAATTTCATTATGAGTCAAAATTCCTAAAATATTAAGGCTGTATGAAACTATATATGCATGAGTACTATATACTGAAACTAAAGTGTTAAATTTGAAGTTATTTCACTTTTTTTTAAAATATACTTTCAATTCATTTTGTTATCTATCTGTGTACCAAGAAGAAAAACAAGCAAGACCAGTTTGAATTTAATATTATCTAATTTAACAGGACCAGTTAGAATGCAATATGGTATAATTTATTGTAATCTAGTTATCACTGGTTCTACTAGATTAATGCGAATTTAGTACATAATACTTGAGAATTTTATCATATTTACGACTATTGACAGGTTAAACAACTTTTTCTGAAATTAAATGTAAACTTTTTGGCTATAAAATTATTTGGTCAAATTAGATTTTTAAAACTTTAGACAAAGAGCGTGCATCTTTGGTTTGCTAAAGATGGTATTTTTTTCTTTATTCTCCCTACGTAATTATGTATTTAAGTGAGCCGAAAATAAAGAGCTTTAGCTCAGCGTTTGACGCAGGTTAACAGTAATTTTTCTAGCTTTATTTTTTTAGCCTTAGAAAACAAGATGATTTGCAAAGAAATTTTTGCGCATGCTCAGTAAAGCTCAACCAGCGTTAACATTAAAGTTAGGGAAAATGATAGCCTTATGAAAAATTTCTCTAATTATCTTAATTTTTACCCCTCTTTTCTGTAATGCAATAAAAGTGCTAAAGTGAAATTTTTTTTATTTATTAGCTTAAATCAAAACTTTTCCATTTGCATATCGACTTAAAAATTTTGAAAGAAGCTAAATTTAACTGTTTCTTTCATACAATTTTAAAATACATTGAATACAATCTTAAAAATTGATCGTACTATTCAAACGTGTCTTTAAAGGAAGAAACACTAGTAAATTCAATTCTGGGTTTTTAAACATTAAGTGTTAACGCACTGCAATCATACGTCTCTGTTTATTTGTTTTGTTTCATTATACTCTACATGCATGAAAGTTCGAAGAACTCTGAAACCAATTAAAGCATAGCTGTCGAGAAACTCCGAGGAACTATCTGACTTTAAAATTTAACCGTAACTGAGACTTAACTTCGTTTGAAAAAAAAAGCAGCACCTCTGAGTGAAGAGGTTGAAATGTTCTGTTCATTTTCAAATATTAATGTTTCGTTTAATCTTGTCTGTAACGCTTCTGTTTAAATATTAAGTGTTTTCAAAAAATGGCCAGGAATAAATTCCTTCAATGGAAGACCTTGTTTATTTTCAATAATGACATCATTTTTTCAAGAGTTGCGATCTTTTAAAGCGAAAGAACAGCGTTCCGTCTTCTCCCTGAGAAATAGAAACTTGAAGAAGCGTCAAAAGAAAATACAGGTAAGGTAATTTTACTTTTACCTTTAACTAAGAAGTTAAATAAATATTATTGAATTAATTGAGTATATTCTAATTTTACAATAGTAATAGAGGCGAAATAGTTTACATTTAAAGATAACTAATATACTTAGCAAAAATTGAATTATAATTTAATTTTTAAAGAAAAATATCTTGAAAAACTGTATACTTTGCGTTTTTTTAAAATTTAAATAGTGATCCAAGAACACTTAAGAAATTTGTCTAAAAAATTATTGATATGATTTTTTTTCTCCTATATTCATGTACACACCTTCTGTACTAAAACGTCAAAATAATCAAGAATGAAAGCAAAATGTTTTTGATACACTGAAAAAAATTGTAAAATAAACAAGAAAAAATACTTTTGGTATGTGGCCTCTTTTTGTCGCCAAGATGTAACCAACAATTAATCCAACAGCACTAACAGGGATGTGAAAATGAGCTGGGGTGTATCCTTTGGCAAGATAAAAAAACCAATCACTGTAAAATTATACTGTATTTATTATTTATAATTATTATTTATAATTACTGTATTTAAAAATTGAAAAAAAAAGCATCGACCGTAAGAGATGTTACAAATTCAGAGATATTTAACCGTCGCATTAACATAAGTGGTGATAGGAGCACTCTAAATCTGTCGGGGTCACAAAGTTTTCCTAGTTTCCATAACAAATCAGTACCTTTGAAGGTACTGGATCGGAAATTGATCGTGCTTTAGTTTAGGTCAAAATTATGATCTGCGAATGGATGGATGGAATACGTCCTCCCTGTAAAACAGAGGACGCATTCACCAGTTTTTATAGTGTTCCAGTCCTTTCTGTATCAGAGTTGGTCAAAAAAGTAACTGATTGCATAGTCGATTACAGTAATCAATTACTTGTAATAGTGATTACAATAATTGATCACAGAAATCAATTACTTGTAATCTTGATTACAATTCCCCAAAATTTTGATTACAACTGTAATCATGATTCCAAGTAATTGCGATTACAAGTAATCACAACAAAAACAATTACGAGTAATTACGATTGCAAGTAATCAAAATATTGATTACATGTAATCGTGATTACAAGTAATTGTGATTGCTTGTAATCAAACTATACGATTACAAGTTATTACGATTGTATACTATATGCGAATTCATTATGTAAGTATGTATGGGTTTACATATTTTAATGTTCATAGAATAAATGCACGCATGCATGAACGTTCAATTTGTGATTCCTATATATATATACATANGTACAATATACATAATTATATTGCAATATACTTAATGTAATACGTATATGCTTAGTGCATATAATTATGCATTTATGACACATGTTATGTTAGTTTGTAAAAAATGCAATGTTTTGTATTGTTGTAGACATAGACAATATATGTATGAACGCATATGAAAATAATGATTATACGTTTGCATGCTTTTATGTAGTTAAGTACATACATTGTATAAATTTACGATAATAGCACGTATATACAACGTACGTATGTATATAAAATTGTACGTATTTAAGTACAATGTGCAAGAATGTTGTTTAACGGTACAGTATATGCACATAGTTGCGTAAATAAAATGCATACATGCATTCATGTACATTTATATGTACATTTATATGTACATAGATATATGGTTTGTGCACGCAACGTATGTATTATACAACGTATATATGTAAATAATTACAAGCAATGTATAAATGCATGCGTACATTTAAATATATGTAATTACAATATACACATACATTGTGCATACATAAATTTTTTTTATATAAGTAATATTATTAAAGTTTGTTTTAAAATTTATTCTAAGGCATATAAAACTCGACTTCATATTTTTTCGAAAGCAAATGATAATCTTATTTTAAATATCTAAATATTATTTCCACACATAAAATGTATCGCTTTTTTGCCATTTAAAAAATTTCTATGAACCATGCATTATGTTATAAAAAATAAATCAGTATTGTCAAACATTTTACGAAAATTCCTGAAAATAATTTTTTATTCAAAGAATTTTAAAATGATATAGAACAATTAAAGCTGAAAACTAAATTTAAATATCGTTTGATTTTGTCATTTAACTTGCTTGAGTCATTATAAGTTAACTTACATGCATTTTATTTATTGCATTATACAATGTAACACATATTTAGACGTAAATGTAATATACACATATGTATACGTGTAATGTATGTATGCATGTACAATATATTTACATACATTCATGCATTGTACTTGCATATATAGTACATAGGGATATGGATATGCATACATGGAACATACGTGCATTGTACATGTGTGGATACATTCATTGGACATATATACATTGCACATATGCATAGATTGGGATAAGATGCATGTACACATGTAAAATTTGTACAATATATTTATGCACATATGTACTGTATATGTTCACACATATGTACATTGTATGTTCATTACATCATATGTGCATTATATGAATATACATCTGTACACTATATGTATATACATCTGTCCAATATATGCATCGCAAATGTGTGTATGTCCATACGTTATGCATGTCGAATGTATGTACATTTGTACAATATATGCATGTCGAATGTATGTATGCAAATATGTAAAATATAGATACGTCCAATGTTCGTACAATCGTACACAAATGTATTATGCATATTTGGATACATACATTGAGCATGAACATATTATGTACATGTACATAAATACACTGGACATGCATATCATGTACATGTATACATACATATATTGTACATCCTACAGATATACTTTTATTGTACATGTATACATATATTGTACTGTTCATAAATAAATTGCACATACATGCATAGGACATACATTGTACAGACAATGTATGTATGTTCGTACAAATCGTTCACATTGTACAGACAATGTATGTATGTTCGTTCGTAAAAAGCCTCTCCAGAAGCCTAAGAGAGAATAACGATGATTTGAAGGAGGGAGAATTTAACATCTCCTTTCCTATAAAAGAAAAAAGGGGGTCGTTACTATGCAGCAGCCAATGAGATTCAAGAGACTGCTAAAACAAGAAGGTATCAACATTGAATGGATATGAAAGTGAAGGAGTATTTAAGACCACTCACCGACTCGTGTAACCGAGTAAGTATGACCGACTCGGACACATGGCCAGAGACTGCAGCCACAACGAATCTTGGCTCTAATTGTGATGAAGCTGGTCATCATGCTGATGCCTGTAGAAGTTAACCTAAGTGTGTCAACTGCTGTGAGACGAACGCAAAGTTCGACTCAAATCTGCGGACTGGCCACAGTGCTCTCAGCATAAACTGCATATCACAAAGGAGAGATGTTCAAGGAATCCAATAGAGAAACGATTATTAGAGTTAATCTAATACATCTTTCAGTTGTAAGCCTTATGGCGCCACTCAATCTGCTGTGTACTCCAACCTTTTGAATTATATATTTTTTCATATTTATATATTTGCTTGAAGCCTTCCAATCGGAAGGCTGCTCAACGTACCGCTAGGAGATGGCTGTCCTCCTGCTGACAGCCCAGTTTTGTCTGCGCCTGCAGAGGGTTTGGTGCTGCCTCTCTGTGGGGTTCGGACTAGCTGCCTTAAAACTTCAAAGGTTCAGTCTCTGTAATTTTGTTTTCCTTGCTTTCGGACTCGAGTAAGGTGCTCTTTTGTCATGCGTGGCTCGGAGCCTTGCCTTGTGTCCGCAAATTGCTTGGCCTTCGAGTTGTACGGGTTGCTTTCGTGACAGCTAATTGTCAAATCCGAATACCCAATTGAGGGTGGGATGGAATATGCTTATTTTTACTCGAAATGCAAATAGGAAAGAAGGTAAGGTGGAGGAAGCTTTTAATATACATGAGAAACCTATAAAGTTAAATATTTCAGAAATTTAACACTAAATGACTTACTCGCGATTCAAATAGTTAAGAAGATAAGTTGGAGGAAGCTTGTAATATAGATGAGAGCATGCTGATAGGAAAACACCCATAACTATTACCAATCCAGCTAAGAATAATCCTCTTCCTGGCCATCTGCAATAATTATTAAAAAAATAATAATACTCTTTTTTCATTTAAACATAACATAGGAGTAAAAATTTCAGGGGCTGGACAAAAATATGGAAACAATTCTATGCTGACTCTATGCAAACAATCTCTCTTTTCACTAAATCTCTGGATTAGGCTTAAATTGCGTCACTCTTTTCCCCCACGACCATTGGGACTCTTTCGATTCAGATTGGCTGCCGCCGATCACATGGGTAATCAGTAGCCATATTTCTGACCAGTTTGAACTGCAAAGTACCATTATGCCCGATCTGTTATTTTTGACTTTCTTTGATTCATACTTTTAAATTAATAATGATAGGTTGTTGTGCATTTGGGTGTTATAATAAGTCAAATTTAGGCTTTAAATTATTACGTTAACCTGTTGGCAATCGCGTTATAAAACGACGGAAAGTGCGGCTGCATAGAATTGTCAGAGAAAAAATGGATTCAAAACTAAATCAGCTGATTATCTGAGGTTAGTTTAAAATAAATTTATTGACTCATTAGTTTAAAATTTTACATGACGTTATTTATTAAATAAGCAAAGCAAATATATTTTGCTTTTTTTTTCTAATTACAGATTTAACAAATTCAAATCTTCAAAACAAATCTTCAAAAAAAGAAAAAAAAGATTTTAAAAGCATTTTAAATATTCGAATGCTTTGTTTGCCAGAATTAAAAGTAAACTAATGGGACATATCACATATTTTTCAACTGATTAAATTTAAAATGTCTACGTTTTAATAAAAGGATATATTTCCTATTTGAGATCTTAGTTTCTTTAATTTTTATTACTTTAAATATTTATACATAATTGCAAAATTTTGTTACAGTGCAAAGTAAATTTGATATAATTAATAAAAATTAAAAGTTCAATAAATTTTTATAAAGAAATATTTATTATTGAACAAAACAAAACCCTTCTATTTTATTATTAAACGTTACAAAACTTCCATTTACTAACTGACTGTTTTATCTCATGCCCTATTTTTGAAAGTATCTGAAAAAATTTATTATTTTTTATTATATCTAAGTACATTTAACTGCATTTTTTTCACGACACATATAAAAACTTTTTGAAATGATTTTTTAAAAAAATTACTTTTGTGCAGAAATTATTTTGAACAGCAGATGTTTTATTTAAAATATCTATTCATATATATTATTTATTATTACTAATATTTATTATTATATAGGCTGCAAAAAATTTTTAAAAGTTACGAGGAAAAAAGTTGTAACAGATTATAAAAGACGAAAAGAGTAAGTTTTTACTTAGAGATGAGGTATTATTTTCTTCGAATGGAATAAAAATAAAATATAAAATTTGAGAGAAAAAAGAATTAAAAGAATAAATAGTAAATATTTAAGTCATCTTCAAGAATACAAAAATATTAATCAATAAAAAGTGGCGTTTAAGAATAGAAACTCCGTATTTCTACATTTAAAGTTGCAGTCACAAGAGAGTTGCAGTCAACAAAATGGCGGTGCGTCGCTACTTAATCTAGGTATCCAACTTTTCACAGCAAATGTTTTCGTAGACTTTACATGGGGGTGTTGTCACTACTTAAAAAATCGTGATTGAAGTTTTTAGAAATGGTGTTCTCTTCATCCATACAAAATTTGAATCGATCAAACATGAGCACAGAAAGTTAAAAGCGTTTTTTCATAATTACCCCTATAAATTTAAAATCATTCTTGTATAAATTTCAAAATCTGCGAGATAATCCAATGTTTGTTAATAAAGCAAGTATGCCAACCGCTCCGCTTTATGGAATTGTTTTAATAAAATGGTAGCATATTGTATAGTAAAATTCGTTAAAGAAAGATAGTTACGCCTACTATTTACTAGAGTAACCAGTAAATTGATGCTTATAATTTTTGATATTTAGTGGAGAAAAATACAAAATTAAATGTAACTTAAATTTTCCTACTATTAGAAAATACTATTTTACAAAGCAGAGCAAGTTGGCATCTCTTATAAAGTTTAAAATATGACAACAACTCATTTTGGAAGTTTCGAATTTAGTATGGGTAACAATACATAATAGTAACAATAACATAAAAGTTTCAAGCATGATCTTTCTAATTGTGCCAACAGGTTTGCCTGGAAAAATCTGCGTAAACATTTTGTGCCTAGAGAAGATTGTAATCGAAGTGTTTTCATTATTTTGTCCAACATCTGTACTTCATTAACTTGAATAAAGAGCTATGTAACATTTTTAGTCTATTTACTAAATGATAGTGAGATATCCATAGATAAAAATATAAACCAAGAGCGTTTATTGTTGTATGATTTTTAAAATTAATGCAAGCATAACCGTAAGTGTATCAATTTTACCTTTATCACGTCTACAGCGATGCCAGCTTGCTCAACTTTGGAGAGAAAAAAAATATGATCTAGTGGTAACGAAATTTAAGTTATATTTTCCTATGTGTAAGCTATTTAAAGCCAACAAATATTCTTCACATTTTTTTGGCCACCCACCCGTACGTGAAAGTCTGACAGTTAAATCGAACTGGTAGTTAAACCATTTAAGTTTTCACTTGTTTTCGGAAGGAGTAAATCTTTTATATTTTTCAGACTGTTCAACAATATCTACTTTAAGCGGGAAAAAGGCAATTTTATATATATGCTATAATTTATAAAAAATCTCGGTAGTTACAAAATGGTAATTTTACTCGAAAAAAGTCTTTCATACCAGTTTTTGCTCTATTTCGTCTTGGTATATATAGGCTTTCAGCCTTGCTCTACATTTAGAGGCACCTATCAGAATTCGCACTATAGGTAGTAAATTATAGCAAATATTATTACCCCTTAACAGTTTTATTATTTTTATGAAAACGGTCATAAGAAGGCATGTTTTATTTATTCAATATATATATATATCAAAAAAAGGTGCATGCATAATATATGTATTCATTTTTGTGCTTTGGGTTTTTTTTAAATTGAAATTTGAAACTCCATACATATTATGGGATATTTAATTAAGAAATAAAAAAATTCCGGGCGCAAGATATGGAGATATTTTTAAACATTTTTGATAAAATGCTTTTGAAATGCTTTTGCCAGGAAATATCACGGGCACGAGAAATAGAAGACTGAAGCTCAGCCCCAAATTTTTACGAGAGCGAGAGGAAAGGAGTTATAGCAAATACAACTATTCAAAAATGTTGCCAGGACAAGAACATTGACATGAAGTTTCAAAACTAAGTTTCAATTGTTTTTGTGATCAAGATTCTTTTTCATTCATTTTTTAAACGAAGAATATAATAAAAATGCATATAGAAATAGTTCTTCCTTAGAAAATAATGGAATGGAATAATGGAATAGTTCTTCCTTAGAAATTGGAGGAAACAGTATTTAATCAACGTTTTGAAAATGCTGCATATCTGAAAAAGATATAAAGCGGTAGTAAGAATATTTTATTATCATCTTTTTTTGGGGAAAAGTAACCATCTTTAACTAATGTTTTTTTTAAATACAACCTATAAATTTACTAGAGAAATTTCTGTCTGGTAAATATGCATCATAACTGTCAAGAATTAGTGGCAATAGCAGATAGACTATTTCTCTAAAGTTAAATATAAGAGTAGGATATTAGTATAACAACATTTTTATTTTATTATTTTTATTTTACTAAGCAGCACAACCTACCTTCTCATGATGGTGCAGATATATAAACTCACTAAAAATATTTGGGTGTCTGCAGATATATACCAAGTCCATGCTAAGCACTAAAAGAAATAATTAAATGATATTCATGTAAAATATTCACATTAGAGATTTGCTAGTATTACACTCTATTTTAATAATGGGTTCTTTTAATGAACGAATACATAGATGATATATTTACAGATAAAAGAAAACGCAAATGACGCACAGACACAACGTAATGTGCACTTATTCAAGCACAGGTACTCGAACGTATCATCATCGAGCTGTCTTACGCGCTTACCATCATCTACTAACGAGCTTGCCATCTATATTTTCTGTCTTAAAGAACATCTCAGTTTCGCAATTAATGTTCCAACTAGTGGATGGAACCATGAAACAGTTCGATGCATAATTATAATATCACCATTGGACAGCTTATAACTCGCATGGTACAATTTATGTAATTTAAACTAATACTTGCATAAGCATCAAACCGTTTTAACAACAGTAAACAGGAGGGATTCCTAGAGGATTTAATAGTAAACTCGAGGGACCTCTTGAGGGTTTAAAAAGAAATTAGAGAGAAACCTAGAGGGTTTAATAGTAAACTAAATAAAAAAATATTTAAAAAAATGATCTAAACACCAGATAAACTAAATAAAATTCATAAATTAAAGATACTTAAACTTGAGAAATTAAAAGCTCTAGCTGAAATACGCTATCATTTACCCCCTCACCCTAAAATGGGATATTATGGCACAAGTTTAGGTCTCGTCCTCATAAAAGACACCTCAAGAGATAAAGTGCAGGTTCCAGCAAGAACACTGCAAGTTCGGAAATTTTGCCTACCTTGAGACTACTCTTACAAATTTTAGTTGTTGTTGTTTCTAATGTCGCTTGCCAAACTAGCAAGCCTGCTTGGTGAAACCGAGCAAATTTAAGGCAGAGGGAGCATTTCTTGTTTTTCAGTGGTAGTAGTGGAGTAGTAACTATATTTCAAAAGTAGTTTGTAGTCTCTACATTTAAAAAATAGCATTTGTAGCTGTGGTAAACTACATTTGTAATAAAGTAGATGTACTGAACTGCAAAAATAAAGTAGTTTTTCCGACCACTGTTCCTGTCAGACAAAGCATTTCTGAAATCAATTTTCATAGAGGCGCATAGAGCGTGTAAGGACACGAATTTAGAAGTACAATGCTGTACAACTTGACAAGAAAGTATACCTAGAATCTTTAAAACTGACCATTTTTGGAGAGAAAAAAATGTTGTTAACGTAAAACAAATTCATCCATCCTCTTTCTAAGCAGTTCTTGCTCAATGAATCAACAATGATTTCTTTCCACAGAGGTCCAGATCCAAAACGTCCGATAATTGCAAAGAAAGCTACAACTAGCATCATTGTTGGGGTCAGCCTATGGAGACAGAACATCGAATAAAAAATTAGTTTTTACACAAAAATATCAGATTTTTTTTCTCTCCTCAAAACTTTATTTATGTCATCTTTTTTACATTTAGCTATTAAAATATTGTAGTAAGAATTTGAGTTTCTTTGTTTTTGACATCGCTATTGACAATGCAATTGCGACATCGTGTCATACGCTAAAATTCTGATCGCACTCATATATCGTCCCTACAAGTTTTTTTGTAATTTGTTCAGTTCCCCTTTTTCCCCGCGCTCTCCTTTTTTTCTCAGAAAGTATCTGGTGGGCTTGTGTGTCGCTGTCCTTTGATCAGCCTTTTCCAATCCACCAATACAACTTTTTTATGTATGTCCTTTTGGGATATTTCATGATGAATGGGATAAGGGCCATTTAGGCCTCAGATGCCCAGTTCTAAGACAACGAACGAACGAACCTAGGGCAAGTTACAGATTAAGAAGTTTAGTAACTGCTGTCACGGATGGGTCCTTGTCAAATACAAGATCGTCGTCTTAAACTAGTAAACTGCTAATACTGAGTTAGAAAAAGTTGCTTAAATGTATTTTATTAGTGAATGCGCTTTAATGTATTTTAATGAAGTTTTGAATTTTATTAGTCACCACAGTTTCCGATTTCAGTCGCCCGTAGCAACTCTGCTAATACCATGTTCCGAATTCCATTAATTTTAGGATTAAGCTGAACTATTTTTTAAAATACAATTCTTGAATTAGTTTTTTAAAATAAGTGATAATTTGCAAGATTTTTGTTTAAAACGGCAGACACTCTACATAACATTTTAATCCATGTATGTTACAACTTTAATAAATCATAGTAATCACGGACATTTTATTCCTCTCTAAAATATGCTAGAAATGTAATAGTTTTACTTCCAGTTTTTTTCACTTTCCATACTTTTTCTGTTGGCAATAAGTTAGCACGTTGAATGCCATGGGGGTCATCGGTGACCGGCACTGAGTTTATTCGTAGCACCACGGGGGTCACCGGTGACCGGCGAAGCCAAGATTATTAGAAACACATTATTCCAGTAAATTTCTAATTTTTTTAACATTATTATCGTTACAAAAATGGTTTGAAGAAATTAATGCAATATAGAACACATAAAAATAGTTTTATTTATGTATACAGAGATGCCAAATTTTTCCGGACAGCGAATAAATATTTTCAAGTCATAGTTTATTAATGGTGACTTTTGATTTAATAAATTCAATTTAGTAGATTTTTATCCTTCACTATTTCTAAAATCTTCGGAACTTTTGTACCACTTCAAACTAATATGTTATGCTAAAATTTTAACAAATTAGCAAAACTATTCAAATTTGAAAATTTAGTACATAGTTACTTATCGTTTGGCCAGACGGGCAAGTCATGCAAAATTAGCGTGGCATTCAACGTGTCAATATAATTATATTGTATGGGATAACATTTTTTTTGAACCAGTTTAAACATTTTAACCCTTTCGCACCGGACGGGACTTGTGCTGTCCCAGTCATGAAATTTTTTGATATTACGGCTGGGACAACATATGTCCCAGTTACTGAAAAATATCTAGTACAGAAAATAACGCCCACTTTGACCTCCAAACTGATTTTAAGGCCGTCTCCTTGTTCTGAGTCCATTAATTTCTCATGTCAATCATTCCCGATCTAATCAAGCAAGCGACGTTTTGCTTTTTTTCTCTTTATTTAAAACAAACTGGGTGCCTGGGCAGCGCAGCGGCCCCTAACCCATACATCATAAAATAATATAAAGTGTATGAAAACATTTTGTGTTATGCATCATTATGGTGAAGCAAGCGACGCACAAATACCAACTTGCTTCGCTAAGCCAATAAATATTTTCGAGTGGTAGTTTATTAGTTTCGATTTTTGGTTTAATAAACTCAATTTATTAGGTTTTTAGCCACCACTATTTCTAAATAATTCGAAGGCTAATTCGAAGACTCCTTTTTGTGATGAAGGGTCGTGTATTAGCTACCACAACGACTGCTATATTCAAAATGATATAACTTCAAATTCTTAGTAAAATTCTAGATGTATGGGATAGGGGCCGCTGACCGGTACAGGTGCCCAATTTCTGCAAGCAAAGTAAAAAAAAAAGTGATGAAGGTTCAAAATGAGCCAAAAGAGAATTTACCCTGATAACAAGCTAAGACAGCTCGCTTATATTAGTGACTCTTCTGATACTGAAATCACTGAGTCGTAAATCCAACAAATGGTGGAAAAAGGTATTATACAGATTACTCATGACCTCGATTGTTAATGCACAGGTTGTTCATCAAGACGTTACTGAACGAAGACGTCCCATATTACCATTCCTCGTTGCTGTTGCTGAAAGTCTCCTGACATTTGGAAATGCAAGCCAGGAAGTCAATAAGCAAAGGCCCTCTTCCTCCAAAACGAAATCATCAACATCGAGACTTTTCAATGTTGGAAATCATTTCCCGATTGAGGGAAAAACGAGCAGAAGATGTGCATGGTGCGCAAAAATGAAGAAAGACGCAAGCTCGAATATAGTATGCACCTCTTGCAACGCAGCCCTATGCAAGAACTGTTTCCAGCCCTACGACGCCCTCAAGAAACACAAACTTTAGATACTCCTGTTCTTCCACTAACTTTCAATTTTTTATCGCTCTTATTTTATACGAGTAACTGTTAATTCCGAAAAGTGTTTATAAATAAATATATTAATAAAAATGTTAACGAAAATATACATGAAAATGTTAATAAAAAAAACGTTGCCTAAAATAATGATCAAAATGTTAAGTAAAATGTCAATAAAAATGAGTTATTGACTCTAGAGTTCCGGCCGGGACATACCCTGTCCCGGGGTTCAGATGCTTTGGGCTTAAGGCGGGACATATGTTGTCCCATCAATGAAGCTTGTGAAATCATTGTTGTTGATGGTGAGCTCCAAGACCTTCAACCATTTAGGCATAAAAGTTATTTTATCTAATAATCGCTTGGAGAAGAAATAGCTGATCCCGGCAATGGAGCGCACTCGGACTGATTTTTCACAGAAGTAAATTACCTGAGATACCTCTTCATGAAGAGTGATGGTATATTGATATTTCCTTTCATTCTTACGCAAATATATGAGAGAAGAACTGAGCTTAATAAGAGAAAAAATAAAGTACAATATTTCAAATGTTCCATATGGTATATTTATTAATTTATTAAATATCGAAAATTTGGTTAAAAACAAATTTTAATCTTGGAATGAAAACTTAGAAAATACTGAGTGTTTCCCGAAATGTTTTCAAAAAAAAAAAAAAAGGTTAAAGCAATGTTATTGTTAGTTCATGCTCCCTTTGCTCAGGGCTGCCAACTTTCTACTCCCTTTGTGGAAAGTTATTCCAGTGGTAGTTAAGTTAATGTCTTAATATACTATTTTTTATTCTTTTAAACTTATTTTCGACAACACTACATGCAAATGATTAAAAGTTCATATGCTGCGCCACTTTGTTCCAGTTTTTTCGTGGTCAGGCTTCTAAAATGTTGTAGGAATTGTCGAAAATTCTGAAAGCTTTGGATTTTAAACGTCTAATTGGGTATAATATGAAAAAAGCACAACTACTTCGATTTAGTAGGAACAACATATGACGCAATGCTAAACGAATGGAATTTAGTTGTTGTTTATTTAGTTATTGTTATTAGTAGTTGTTGTTTTTTGTTTTAGTTGTTGTTGTTTATTTAGTTGTATTTAGTTTCTATTACTTTTCTTTATAATGGAATAAAATCTGGCGAGCAGCTATTTAAACGATCGAACACTTCGTTTGTATATTTGTGGCTTGAAGTTAGGCTCGCAGAAAATGCCGTTCATGGGTTAAATTTAGTAGGAACAACACAACCTGTGACGTAGGCTATATTATACCCAATTGTATTAAATTGCCATTTTAATGTTCCAAGAAATTGCGATTACATGTAATCACAACAAAAACGATTGCGTTTAATTATTATTACAAGTAATCAAAATATATGATTACATGTAATCATGATTACATGTAATTGTGATTACTTGTAATCATATTACACGATTACAAGTAATTACAATTGCCTACTATATGCAAATACATTATGTATTTTTTATGTCTAAGAATGTATGCACGCATGTACGTACAATTTGTGATTCGTATATATACATATATATTGAATGCACGTGGTTTGTAAGTCAAATATACATAATTATATTGAAATATACATAATACAATACGTATACGCTTAGTACACATAATTATGCATTTATAATACATGTACGTATGTATGTTAGTTTGTATGCGAATGCTATGTTTTCTATGTTTATATACATAGACAACATTTGCAGGAACGTACATGGAAAAAATTTCCATACGTATGAGCGCGCACGCACACACACACATACGCATGCACGCACACGCACACACACACATACGCATGCACGCACACGCACACACACATATATTTATATATATACATACAATGTATACATAAACGTAATTTCATTTAATGTATAAATACATGCGTACATTTACATATATGTATTTACAATGTACACACACTTTGTGCATGCATTAAAAAAATTTATAACAGTAAAGTTACTAAAGTTCGTTTTATATTTTATTCTTTAATTAAATGATAGTCCGAAAAATTTTGAGCTGGAAGGTAAACAATTTTTTAAATCATTTTAGAAAATGTAATTTTACATGGGAAAAAAATGCAAACTCTAAACAAAATCGGCCGAATAGTTCCCGTAAAATCCAATTTTAAAAAATAATGTTTTTAAAACTATTCAATTTCTCAGAAACTATGCTACCGATTTGTATTTTGCTAACATTTAACAGCTATAAACAGTGTGCTTGTAGTATTGCCTTTGAAGCGTTCAATACACTAACATAACGTAAAGATACGTAGCATCTAAAATAAAAGCGAGCATGCGCAATAGCTTCAAATCTTACACATGGGAGCATGCGGAAGCTAACGTAAAAGTGCGAAATCTTCCTATTGCCATAACACCTTAGAGAACGGAAATGCGAATGTTCATAACCCTTTGCACTCCGATGTTACTTTTGAAGTACCATCAACAGCCATAACTCTAATTTTTTTATATCTTAAGATTAAGAATTCTAATGAAACTTTTACATTCTGAAATTTGAAAGAAAAAAAAAACATAAAGCTCAGTCCAATTGCCGCTTGTATTTGTAGAGATGCTTCTTTTTCTATAACACAAAATATTTAATTTTTCCTGTTAATTTTTTTACTCCAAAACCAGAGTGTTAAAATTTACGAGATAAATAGAAAAAGGAACTAAATGAGTTTAGGCCATCCTATAAATTTTAATGATGAAGATAAAAAGAAGTTTACCTCATAAAGAAAAAGTTTTCAACCGCCAAAAATCCACACGGTACAGTTTGGAAGATAAACTCTTTTCCTAAGCTAATGCTACGAAAGGCTCCATCTAAAATAGAACGAAACAAAGTGTAAAGCATCAAACAGTACAGTAAGTCAAATAAAATAAAAGAAAGATGACGCCTCAATAGCTTTTCACCTAATACGTAGATTTTAACATACTAAATGACACAAGTGTTTGATCTCAAATATGCTAATTAAGTTGTGAAATCACGATATCAAACATTAAAACGTAATTTATTTGAATAAACTTTCCTCATTATACGTATACATATATTTTAGCTAAAATAATTTTGAAAACGAAAAATGATGATTTTTTCACATTTTTAATATTTTTTTCAACTTTTTTTTTGTTTTCTTTTAGAAAAGGTACAATTGTTGCAACATTGCAAAATTTGCACCAATCAAATTCAGCGGTTAAAGTTAAAAGCTTCTTTTAATTTTTTTAATTCCAGTCTGCAAAGGAGATGTCCAAGCCTGAGTCTGAACTATATCACTTAAAAGAAAGAAATCAACTGTAATGATTTATTGCAATTGTAGGATTTGCTTTCCTATTCTTAAAAACGTATTCCTATTGTTTGCTATATGTAACTGATTGATCATCGTGTGATGATTAAACTCAGTGGCGCGACAGCGAATAGGTAAGTGAAGTCAGCTCTGCCATCTGTATTACCAGAGATGCCAACTTGCTCCGGACAGATCAATATTTCTCAGTGGAATTCTTTTTAATGTGACGCCCGGTGACTGAGTGGTAGCGCTTCGACCTCCCCTGCCACTGGTCCTGGGTTCGGGCCGGGCAAGGTTGACTCAGCCTTTCATCCCTTCAGTGGGTCGATAAATGAGTACCAAGCGTGCTTGGGAACTAAACACTGAGGATTTTCGCGTTCGGCTGACCATCTAACCGGAACATCTGCTCCTGCATCCCAGACAAAATGGGCACAGTAGGCTGTCACGCCACTGAGTTTAGTTTAGTCTTTTAATGTATGATTCTCTGTTTAGTAAATTCGATTTATAGAGTTTTTAACTCATCACTACTTCTAAATATTTCAAAGACATATGTGAGACGCCACTCTGTTACGGTTAAGCTGTGTTGAGCCTTGTAAACAGTTAGCAAATTTAACCGAAAATCTGCGTATTTAAGTTTGTGGTTCACTGCCGTGTTATAAGATATTTCGTCGAATCCGGAGCAGTTGGCATCTCTGTATTTTAATCATATTAACCATTAACCCTAGGTAGAGAATTTACTATGTAAGCTCGTAAAATAAATTCATAAGAATAAAATAATAAGTTTAGAAAAAGAAAAACATATATAGTCCATCTTCGTTTATAAAGCGCATCTAAGACGTTTAATTGTTTATGCTTAACAGTTTGCTCACTCGTTTGATAATCTTTCATTTCTTTGACGCGAAAAAGAAATTTTATTGGTTTTGTTAACTAACACTTTCGTTAACTGCGCATTTTGCGAAATATTTTCTAGAGTATTAAACATTTAAAAAACAGAGCTTTCAGAATTTTTGGTGAATTTACCAACATTACCTAAATACCTCAACACGAAAGAGTTTATTGAATTGGTTTATTTGAATTACACATATTTGAAGTCTTGAGTGCTGCTTGAGGGTTGCCAGAGGGTTGCTTGGGGTATTCATTCACTTTTCCTTCGAGGTTAATATCTTCCTTACCTGTACTATGCATGATTTTTTATCGCCTTACGAGATCATCGCCAACAAAACCAATTAATTTTATTTTTTGAAATTCTGGATGCTATTTAGGCAAAGTATAAAATAATCGTCCTGATGAGGTTATTATGTAAGTGATGTGCATGTTACTGTGAATGACCGATATCGGTGGTTGTTGACTTTCACCGGTGAATGTTGACAATCAAATTAGTCGCTTTGATGAATGTCCGAAATATTTATTACATTCCGTTTGATATTAATTTATTCGTGAATATAATTACATTTATTCCATATTTTAATACTTACTGACGATAGATTAGAACAAACATCAGTGTTTGGAGTATCGGGCAAATATATAGCGGGCAATGGCACTTGACTTAAAAAAACATCAGTGTAGGGTATACCGGGCAAATGTAAACCGGGCAGTTGCACTTGACTTTAAAAAAACATCAATGTAGGGCAGTGTTTCCCAAAGTGTGGAACGCGTACCCCCAGGGGTACGGGAACAGTTTAGCGGGGGTACGCGTTCTTATGCAAAATATTTGCTACAAACGAAAATTTCAAAAAATTTTTCTTAAAAACAAAGCTAGCCAAGAAAACTTACGATTAATTATTTTTCTATTGGCTATTTTTGCAGAGTAAACATTTAATAATTAGTGCTGTCAACAGCCGGTTCTGATTTTTAACTTTTGTGCAATTTTTTTATAGTAAAAAATGCATTCATTTTTTATTAGTGGTACGCAGCGTTGAGAAAAATTTAGTAAGGGTACCCAAAAGTCATAAGTTTGGGAAACACTGATGTAGGGTATACCGGGCAAATGTATTCCGGGCAATGGCTCTTAACCAGACCTAGTATGACTAGACCTTTGGTAAATGTCCAAAATATATACTAGGTCTAGTGCCACTTTTGCTATTGCTTAAATATTAAAAAAAAATAAATAAACAGAGCGTTTGAATCAATTTTAAACTGATAACGAAATTATTGCTTTAAAATTAAAAAAATAATTATAAAAACTCCTCCAGATAAGAGTAATTGAAGTAGTTGCTTTATACTGCGCTCGTGCGGAATACATGCACGTGCGGATTTACATAACCTCGTTTTTATCATATCTGCTTGAATAAAGTTCATACTTTTACAATATACTCTTATCACCCTACTGCATATAATTACACAGTCAGAACCTCAATGATTCACATGAATACTTCTTTAAATCATTTATAGTCAACCTTATCGAAGCACCACACAGATCAAGCTCAAGATGAATGGGACAAGGGCCGTAAACGGCCTCAGGTGCCCAGATATTTTATACAGTTTAAGTTTAAATATTTACATTAAAAAAATTGAAAAAAAAATGTTATAAAAGGTTGTTTATTTTTGTCTCTTAAAATAAAATGTTTAATTTTATTATTCACCACATTTTTGCATTTTTAGTCGCCCGTGGACTAGGATATATTCTGATTCATATTATTTTTCAAACATCTGCAGATTTTTGTGTCACGTCATTTTCCTTTTTTCTTTCCGCTTTACATTTTCTTACTCTTATTACGTTATTTCATTTTATTTATTTATTTATTTTGTAAATGTACTTAAGATTTCCATCAAAAAAATTATAAGCATTGAAAAGGATGAATAAGGTTGGAATTTTTACCAAATGCTCGGTGACTGCCAACAAGATATGAATGACTCCATATTATCCACGTGATTGATAAAACTCGAAGACCATGGAATATGTGTAGAGTATCTGGATTTTCGTCGACCTTTAAAAGTCTGATGGTGTTTGTGTATGCAGAAAAGCATAATAATGCCTTTATTGCTGCGCCTGGAATTAAAACTAATATTAACGTGTTGCTTAATGTGCTGATGATATATGAACAATATATTTAAAAAAAAACTTACTCTTGTTATTTGTATGAAAATCACGTTTTGGTTTATTTCTGAAAAGAATATCCAATGAGGTTCCTAGTACCAGCAGGCAGATTAAAACGATGAATAATGTGCTGAAATAAATAAAATAGAAAGTTTAATGAGTATTTTTGTTTTTTGTTTGTTTACATGATCTTACTGAAAACTTGCTGTTTTAAACCGATTTCCGCAATATTTGTAACACGCATTTCAAGATATTGTGTGCAAAGGATCAAATTAAATAAAGATGCATTCATAAGTCATGTGTAAGTGTCAAACGCGAAGATTGCTGATTAGAGGCGAATTGAAATATAATTAATATTAAAGATAAAATCGAAACCAAAGTGGTTAACATATTGTGCAGGAAAGAGCAGTTAAGATCAAGAATGAAAACGGCAGTCAATGCAAGCGTAAAGCAGAACCCTTTCATAAGAACTTTGGTAAGTGTCCAGATGGCGATAAATCAATACCAATGAGTAAAATAAAAATTGTCGCCAAATACTCTTGACAGCAATTATATTTATACACAACCGAAAGAAAATCAGAAACGATTTCGAATTTTTTGCGGATAAAGGTAAAAATACATTGAATGTAATTTTGATAATTGAATCAAAGGGAAAAAGTATAAGGGTAAAAGACATCTACCGTATTAGAAAGATTACAATGCTAATAAAGTAAGATTGTAAGAAATGCAGAATCGGTAAAACTTGCAATCGATGGAACTGGAAGTTTAAGAGAATTCCGATGGTTAAGAAAAAAAAATTGCGGTAATTTGAGAAATGGGATCTTGGTATAGGAAGTCCAGAAAGAAGATTAGAGCAAAAAATAAAGGACCTCAACCGGAATAATACAAGAGTAAAAGATATCTACCATATTGGAAAATTATGGAGCTAATAAAGTAAGATAAGAAGAAATGTTCATTCATCGACGCAAGAAAGAGATATCTACAGCTTACTTTAAAATCGGTAAAATTTGCCAGAAAATTAATCGATGAATCGAATTAAAAAGAGAATTGCAATGATTAAGAAAGAAAAATAGGAGGTTCTTGGAGAAATGGGATCTTGATATTTGTTATCTAGAAAGAAATTGCTCAGGATAAAGAATAATCTATCTCAACCGGCTTTATATAACTAGATATGGGTATTGGAAAGTTTGATACATTGAAAAACGAAAATTTCCGTATAAAAGTGAATATGGCGATTTATTGTATACGGATTAGTCTTAAATAAAAAAAAAACCTTGACGAACGTGCAAAAAATAGCAGTAAAAAAAGGAAAATTTCGTAGCATACAATCAATTTCGAGCCGGGGTTGTGAAACGTTTGGGGCCTTAACCAGGCCTGCGAACCCCTGTTCTTATCTCTGAGAACTGTTTCCACAGAGAGGACAACACCTTTTTTAAAATCCTGAGCGTCCCTACAATAGGTAGTCTGTGATTGGTCAGCCCCAGTTATCCAACTACCCTCCAATTCGCGGCATCGTCTAGCTAGACTATGACGACTGGCCATACTTATGATGGGTAAACAAAGAAACTAAAAAAACGAAAATTGGGCTAAGCTACGATGTGTCAAAACGTTCTTTACAAGCTTCGAGGAGCAAAGTAGGTACCTCTACACAAATGCGATCACGACATCATCGGCCACCACGTGGCAAAGTTGTCTACGAAGAGCTCAGCTCAGCTATCAACTGATACCTTATTTGTGTAAGGGCTTACCTACTTATTGTCTGGGGGGCGGTGAACATATGTTGAGGGGCGATGAACTTGTTTTGGGCAGTAGGGGGGAGGTAGGTATGTGTTGGGCGGTAGGGGGGCGATGAGCATTCAAATTCATTTTTAAAACTTCTAAATAAAATTATTAAATTAAAATTAATTTAATAAATAAAGTAAATCAAAAATGAATATTAATGAAAAATAATTCAATCAATATAATAAATTAAAATTATCCGATACACCATTTATACCAGCAGTAAAACGAACTTATGTGACAACTATTCTCCAATCCGAACTATCGCAGGGCATAAGTGAGTTGTTTTTGCTTCTGACTTATTCAAGCAATTTGGCGAAAATTGAAGTGCATGCACTTTCAGCATGAATGTTTGATTTGACCCGTGTTTCTTTTGATGGTTTTCGTTCGCTCCCTTTCAGTTTTTTCCCCAGTTTTGATTCAATTTCACTGATTATTTGAACAGGTACTTGCGTGAATTTGTTCTTCAGCGTAAATTATCTATTAATTTTAAGATATAGTTTATTTTCTCTCCTCGTTTGTATTTTGCAACTGCCTACAATGTCGGTTAATAAAAAAAAGTGTCGTCAATACAGTGCCACGTACTTGAAGTTCGGGTTCGGAACGATACAGTGTTGCAACGGATTGATGAGATGGCTGAAGACATTGGAGTTTCCTTATACAAACTTTTGATGTCCAACGTATTTCCCTTCAAGTTAATGAGTCAATCTTGCGAAGTAATGAGGATTTACTGTTGGCGTACTTCCGCTTTATGAAGGAATAAAAAATTATTCAAGAGATGCTTTTTGCAAAAAACCTGATTGAAGATACCGAAGGTAAATCTATTTTTAATACTGTTAAACATTATTTTAAAGAGAAAAACATTCCTCTTTCGAATATTGCGTCTGTTGCCACTGATGGAGCTACTGCAATGGTTGGTTGACATAGTACGTTTAACCCTATTTTGAAGAGGGAGGTACCCCTCCCAAGACAAAGACACCTAGAAAACTCCTCCCATAATTGATGGCCAAGTACCAGATATTTTAACTGTCCACAACGTGATTCACAGACAGCATTTAGTTGGAAAAAAATCTCAGAAACCATTTGCATCGGTCATTGCAATATGTCGATCTCTGCTGTGATGAAAATTCGCAGTAATTGATCCGCAATGATTGATTATTCAGAGAGCTGTGCAAGAAAAACGATGAAAAATTCGATCGCTTGCTACTACACCAGGGGTGAAAGCGAGACGGAAAAGAGGAAAGGCTGGTAGTAAAACCATTTCAGTTATAGCTAGTTTTGGGGAGGAGTTTACTTATTCTTTTTTCAAATTTTTCAACAATATCTACTTTATCTTGGAAAAGAAGCAGTTTTATATATATGCCAGAATTATAAAAGAAATCTTGATAGTTACAGATATTTCATTTTATTCGAAAAAAATTCTGGAATGAAATGTTTTACGTACCAGGTTTTTCTCTTTTCCGTCTTGCTATATAAGGGCTTTCACCCATGTACTACACACTGAGACTCACTCACAAGCTTTCCAAAGCCGCCTGTCTCAATAGGTGTTGGAATATTTTCGACTCTGTGCTTGAGTTCCTTGAATACATGACGGATTTATTTGTAAAATTTAATGCTGTTAATTTACAATTTCAAGGCGACGAGTTCAATTTGATCACTGCAAAATCAGCTATTTCTGCCTTTCTAAAAAAACTCATTTTGTGGAAGCAGAATTTTGGTAGGAACAAGCTAAGCCAATTTCCAATCTTATCGGAATAAAGAATGGTGAAATTCTCTCTGATGATACACAAGAACTGCAGAGGTTCAGATTCAGAAGGAATTGGTAGAACTTTCAACTAATGAAGCTTTGAAATAGTAATCGTCTTACAGAATTTTGACTTCAGGTAGCATTTAATAGCCTTCCTTCTACCATGTGGAACGAAGATTCAGAGATGTGACGTATCAAGTCACAAACAACTGAGTCAAAATTGTGCGTCTTCACCTCATTGAAAATATTGAACCGAACATTAAGTAACTGGCCCTAAACCAAACACAATCATCCCACTGACATAGTTACTTGATTATTTCGTTGATACTACTTTTTAGAATAAGTTTTTTAACTATATCATTAAGAATAAATGACTATTATTAAGCATAGGTTTCTCAGGTGTATTTTTTTTCCCTACCGTAATTATTTTGATTATAACAAATAGATTGCAATTACTTGCCTTAAAAATGTTGCCTCTTTTAATTCAGCACACATCTCTCCCTCCCCATGATCTAAATAACTGGATTTTCGCAAAGGGGGCGTTGAGATTTTTTCTGATCTTTAGGGGGGCGGCAAGGTAAAAAAGGTTTAGAATCTATGCTCTACACAAATACGATCACAGTGCCACTGCCTTACGACTTATCGGCCACTACGTGGTAAAGTTGTTTACGAAACGCTCAACTGTCATCCGATATCTAATTTGTGTAAGGGCGCTACTTATTTTGTTCAATTTTTTATTTAAAAAAAGTTCCTACCTTTATATGTTTTTTACTATGTATCTGCTTTTCCAATGAATTAGTCAATTGTCATTTAAGCCAGTCATTAATCAATTATATGTTTGTAATTACATTGTTTTTTACGATTTTATGTTATCAAATATGTATTGTTTGTTTTTATATACGCTGTGACTTTATTTGTTTGCCTCAGGTCATACTATTTTCCAGAGATATGTCTTTGTATTGCGTTAAATCATTCGCCTCATTTTCTTTTGTTAATCGTCTTGTGGCCAAATATTATTCTAACTTAAGAAACAGTTGTCACTTGGTGCCGAATCCGCACAATAAGCTGGAAGAGGATAATCATCTATCGTAACTAATGCAAAAATGCCATGGTTGTGTTCTGACGGACTACAAAGTGAAAATTAGGTTCAGTGCAATCTCGTAAACATAGCAAAGAGCTGGTACGGGATGAGTATTCAAAAGCTAATACAGCATCTACACGAAGGCATCGACCTAAATGATAATTATATCGAAAAAAAAAGTTAAACCTCTAGGCTGATGTAATTTAACCTAGTGTAAATAAATAATTAAATGAAATAATTTTGAATTTCAAAAAAGTAGGAAAATTTACTTTTGCGAGTTCCCTTGTATGTCTTTGTCAGCAGAACGGACGCATGAAAAGAATAAAAAGAAAAGTTATACTTACTAAATAAACATCTCCATGGCTGTAAGTTCCAGCTCTTCTTTAATGTCACAATGCGATACAATTACTTTATTTTCACTCTTCGTATGCGTCACAACTTAAATGAAATAATTTAAAATCTTAAATTATAAATGGTTATAGAGATAAAAGGAAAAAAAAATATTTTATTTATCCATAAATCTATTATATAAAAGTATAATATATAACACAAGTTACTTTTCAAAAATTATGGGTTGAGTATTCTTGGAGAAAAAAAAACACAATTTCACTAATGGTAAATTTGATGTAAAAATGTCACCTTTTGAAAAAAGCTTAGTTGGCCATATATTTCTCAAACCTTGACTAATTTTTAATGCGTTTAAAAAAAGACTTTATAACTTTGGGTTTAATAGTCGTATTTATATCCATTTTGCACGGAACCTTAGTGGCTGGACTCAAATAAGCTATTAACTTGCACAGATGAACAAACGGTATATTAACCTTTTGCTTTCGATAGATATCTCCCTGTCACCAATAATGAGGCATACTCAGAGATCCAGATTTGACAAAATATATTAAAAAACAGTGGAAAACTACAAACTAAAATGTGCAGACTTTCTGTTAATTCTGCCAACTTTTTCAAAAGATCAACCCATGGACTTATAATATAGATACGATACATTACATTCGGAAACCAGCAAACTCATCATTTAACTTGTTTCCGGATCACGATTAACCAATCAAAGCGTTTAAGACGAACTCTTCTGTTTAGCAATTTTTTTTCTTCTTGGTTTCGTCGCAGCGTGAAAGAGAAGAGGAGAGAAGTTCTTTCTTTTTCGATGCAAAACACACATTTTGCTTAGCCTTTTTTTTTTTTTTTTTTTTTTTTTTTTTTGAGAAAAAAAAAGAATTCTATTTTTGATTTATTTCTTCAGTCGTAAGTTATGTTGTAAGTCTTTATTTTTTCACGATGGTACAATAACAATATATCAAGGCTTTTAAATAACTATATAAAACCTCGTATTTTTTGGTCTACAACAATAAAGTTTATTCAGGGATTTGAAATATATATATGACATAACTGATTCACGAATTAAATTTTGAAAATTAAAATGTTCTTAAACGTGTTAAAAAATCCTTTATGGTTTTAAATTAATTAGAGTTGTAATTTATGAACTGTTTAGAAAAATCATTTTTTGAATTTATATTATTAAATAATTAAACATATTTCGTGTGAGCATATTTGTAAACAAAACCTTTCTTGAACTATGATACTGTTTATTTGTAACTCGACCTGCCCTATTTAAGGGCATACGAGTGTAGATTCATAAAACATATATTATACACACATAAAACATCAGAAATTATATAAAATCACAGAAATTTAAAATCACAGATGTCAGTGGCAACTGCCCGACAGAAAAAATACAACATTACAAGTAACAACATTAAAAAAAGGTATAACATCAATGACATCTGCCCAAACTGAGCCATTATAAAAAATAAATAAATAAATAAATACAAACCCAATACGGGCCCTCACACAATTAAAAAAAACCAAAAGAATACAATACAAAAAATTTAAAATCTCAAGAAGGAACGATGAAAATGGTCCCAAAGTTAAAAAGAAACATAATAACATCACACACTAAAACAAAGGAATAAGTAGTTAAAATCATGACCTATAACCGGGCCAAGACAAATTAAAAAAAAACCGATATTTAAAAATTTAAAAACAGAAAAAGGTTGAAAGCCCAGGAACAACCATCCAGTAGTTAATCTCAAAGTCTAAATTCAGTAAAGTTATAAAAATAAATAATAAAATAGTAAAACATGATACGGTTGAGACACCCAAATTAGAGGTCGTGGATTCTGAATTATTATTAGACTTCCTCTAGAATATCGTCCAATGTTTGTTTAATGATGGATTTAATTATACTCCTGCAGGTCGAGCTTGAAAAGCATTGGACTTGATCTAAATTTTGAAAATGATTTCCACGGAGTGTTCGGAATCTTGGGCAATGCAAAATCAAGTGGTCAACATTTTGGAAATTCACCACAATAATTGCATGCCGGGGATTTGTTAAAGAGTCTACTTTGATGGTCCCCGAACACTCCATGGCCCGTTAAAAATTGGTTAAAATAGAAGTTTACCTGCAGTCTATTATGTTTTGGGTCTTTTATGAATTTATAAACCTGTCTAACTTTTTCAGAATCCCGCCAGTCTTGTTTCCATCTCTTATTTGTGTAATCTTTGACCATTGTTTTAACTTGGGCGATGGTGCTCGGGGACTCAATAGTAATACTACCGAGACTGATGGCATCCTTTGCAACTCTATCCGCCTCCTCGTTGCCATCTATTCCTATGTTGGCCTTTACCCAATTGAGTTTGATATTGTTTTGCCAACCCTTTTCAACCAAAAGGGACATAAGTTTCGTATTATTTAAAGCTTGCAACGAGGAGAGCGAATCGGAGTATATTGTCACATCGGGATAATAATTTATTGCAAGCCAATTTAGGGCAGTTTTAATCGCCATCAGCTCGGCTTTATACACACGGCTGTTATTGCTCATTCTGATGGAGGTCGCATCAAATGTTTTACCGTTATTCCTAACAACAACACCTAGTCCTGTCCTTTGTTCAGATATGTTATTAGTATCCTCGGCAACCTCCATCCGTGAGCCATCAGTGAAAATTCCAACACCCTGATTATTTGGAGTTGATCTACCAAAGGGAACGGAAACATATAAATAAGGATGAACTCTATCAGGGTTTTCCTCGATTTTAGTATTTCGTAGAAGTTCACTTATTTCAATATCGTTGTCTTCCATTCTGTACTCCCACTGTAGCCTCTTAAACCAGGTGTCGTCAATAATTTTCAGATGAATGGGTTTAACTCCCGCCAGTATCTGGAGGGCCTCGGTACTGGTGGTGGAGTAGGCCCTTGTAATAACAATAAGAGATGTACGTTTTGAACTACGATGAACTTGAACTATGATGAATTTGAACTTGAACTATGATATGCAAAAAAATTTTTCAATGAGAAAATTGCGGCAGCATTAAAAGGTGCCAATTAAAATATAAATATGTTTATTTACGTAATAACATGTACTCTAAAGTTTAAGTTATAAATTGTCTATTGAGTTATGTATATTAAGTTCTGAAATGTTTATTAGAATTTATTAAACTTTGCTTAAAAAAATCTCAGACTTTTGCCCAACTTATTAAATGCTAGTTATAAAATATACAAATGAAACTTAATAATCGATGTTGTAAATATTTATTCTACTTTTAATTTTTTTAAAAAGAAATATCGTTCTTAACGGTAGTCAACGTTGGTCTTAAGCTTCGCCGCTATAAGGAAAAGACGAAATTTTAAATGTCTTCCCAAAAAGCATTATCTAGAAAATATGTTTTTCTACCTACTATTATTGCCAAATATAGGAATAAGTAGCCAACATTGCATACCATTCATCTTTTTCCTCACGTGCTGAGTGGCTAAGTAAGACAGATGTGGGTTTCAAAGTGAGTGTAATTTTACCATCTCGAGAGCAGTCTACTTATATTATTAATCTCTGGATCAACACAACCAAACTGTAATAAAGTGGCGTATCACGTAAGCCCCTTTGAAATATTTAGAAGCAATGCTGAGTAAAAGCCTTATAAATCAAATTTACTAAACCAAGAATCATGCATTAAAAGACTACTACACGAAAATGTTTATCCGCTGCCTGGAGCACATTTCCATACCTGATAACTTGTACTGTCGTTGACAAAGATTTTCAAATTGGTAGAAAAACAACAATTAAGTTTGGAAGAAATTTCTCAAAACAAAAGTATTATGACAACTGTAAACATAATTAGCCAATAAATCGATCTTATCTACACGTTTTTTAAAAATTATAAATTTGTCATATTAGTAGTTTTAAAATAAATTGACGCTTATGTTACAACCACTAAAAAATATTTCTTAGCGGCTGTACAAGCTGGCAGCTACGCATTTCTATATCCTGCATACATGCATGATTTTCCTTTATCTCTCCCTCCCTCTCTCTCTGTCCTTATTCCTAAAGTTGAAACAAGATATATCAATTAACATTCTTTTCCTTTTTTTTAAAATTTACCAAAGTTGATTAATAATGATTTGGGCATTCATTACAGATAAGTAATTTAAACAATCATAGGGTCCTAATTTTTTTTTTTTAAAAATAGCTAACAAGCATTTGCATAGTTGATATCATTGCTTATTACTTTATAATATTTTATGACTGTCATTTTTCCAATCCACTGCCTTATAGACCCGTTCTTCTGTTTTGCATTTTATAATCAACGTTGAACAGCCGATCCTATCAATGTTCAACACCGTAGTCTTGTAATTTTGAACCCAATCCAGAAAATCATGAAACTTCTAAATTAAGTATTTGGAGAAATTTGCTTTCATTGTAACCCGAATTAGCATTACATTGAGAGGAAAACCGCATAAGATTCTCACGTTTAGCCTGACGGCAAGGGAACTCTAGCCCATGATCCGTCTACCACTGAAGATATTTTACGTCAGCTCTGTGATTGGTATGAGCCTAGTGCGGAATTCGTATAGACCAGCCATAGCTGGGATTCGAACCCAAGTTATCCCATTGGGAGACGAGCGCTCTATCCTGTGAGCCTCTTCGGCTTTGTAAATCCAAATTTTATATTGCTACCACTATGAACAATCATAACCAGAAGGAATAAAAAATGGCAGTAAAGTGCCAGCCAATTAGGGTTAATATTTATTTTTTGGTTTTATAAAAGTTAATTAAAATTGCTTTGAGCACCAATGCACATGAAAAATATATTATACCGATTTTAAAAATTAGATTAGAGCATATTTCAACATTCACCACGAGTAAATAATTTTAAATACAATATATTTAAAATTATATATTAATATAATCGATTATTAATGTGTTGTTGATTTATATTGGACAAGATCAATTACACAGAGAACATTTCTTTTATTACTAATATATTGTATAAGTTTTTTGAACTGATCTTGGATAATTTCCCATCGGTGATCTCAAAACTACAATCAGTTTCTCGCTACAAGTTTAGTTTCTTTATTCAATAATATA